GCAGCATGGATCCATATGTTGAAATGTAAAGCAACAATCAATCGCACTTTAATGATTTGATGCTTCAAGCTAAGCGCAAAAACGCATAACCACACCGAGTCCTCATGAACTTAATGTATTCCTTCCGAAAAATCCAGCTAATAACATGAACTAGGCTTTCTGGTGTGATTACGCGCGTTTTTGCGCTAAACATGAAACAACCAGATCGTTAACAACATTTGTTTTAATGTTGGCAGTGTATATTTTCTTGCATGCGCGCTAAAAGGGTGCCGGCTGGAACGGTGGCGTTGTGTCATGAACCGGTGTGAAATCTTGTTCTTGGCATGCATGATGAATGTAAATTTTGCGTGTATGGAAGTAAGAAACTCAGGCTGGAACCCCAGGCTTGCCGGCGCGATCATGCGTTTTTGTACTAAACTAGCAAGTCGCTAATAACAGGAGCCATCCCTTCGCTGTAGCCTAATAATTGGGCTCGTATTGTCCGTACTTTGACCCCTACCGGCATGCAGGAGAAAGGGCGTCGGTTAGGATGAAGGTGGTCCATTACAGAGCCGTACGGACATCCAGGCACATGATTACCAGTTTTTTGCATGAAGCCCGGTCGTTTTTTGGTAAATGCTTGCTTTTTGAAAAAATGAAACCCAGGCCGGAACGCATCGTGTAGGCCCGTGCGATCATACGTTTTGTACCAAACTTGAAATACTGCATGAATAGTTCATTAACTGCATGAATGGTTGTTGCTTTACACTTGCCTTTTGTGGTCACTAGCAGAAATTACCACAAATTTTGCATAAAGCAAATGTACAATTTTCGCCTAACGGCCGTTCTTTAAAAGTAACCTAACAGTTCAGTAAGAAATTTTTCGCCAAAATTTTTAAATGCCTGTACGAAGAAACCATGCATACCTCAAGGTCGAATTTGAAATACTTAAGTTGCACTGGACAGGGAACACAGCCCTAAAATTTCAGCTTTCTAGCTTTTCTGATTTACGAGCTAGTAATTTCCCCGCAGAAGCTTTCATATGCTCTTACATGGGTACCACGCTTAGGTGGGGACTGAATTTGAACTCTTTAGCTAACACGTGCAAAGAGAGTATCCTTACAAAGTTTCAGCCCATGGTTCCCGAGATCGCTTTCCCACCAAAAAATTTGCATACTTACTTAAACCGTCCGCATGTGGCTCCCAGGCGTCCGCGGGGATGATATTAAAAAGCGAAGGTCGCACATAGTTTGGGCACATACTCCCAAAGTTTCAGCCTTCTAGTTTTTCTGGTTCTCGAGTTGAAAGTGGGGGATAAAAAGTGCGAACACACAGACACACACAGAGACATACACAGACACACACACACACTGCCTCTTCCCAATATGAGTTTTTGCAATTTGCATATATGCAAAAACGTATGAAAAGCAAATTATTTGAAAAAATGCAAATTTTCAGTTCACTAAAAAGTGGAAATGTTGCGACAGCGGCCGTTCTTCAAAAAATCCAGGCATGCAAATGAACTGAATGTTAACTTACATATTTGGATGAGGGCGGTCGTCCGCTGCAGAACGCATTCGTTTCTGATTTTTCGTTAAAGTTGAGAATTTCTCATACTCACCTGTAGGGAATTTCACTTTTGAGCAGAATTAAGACAGCACTTGAAAGTAAAATATTCTAGAAAATTTTCAGCCTCGCAGCTTATCGGGAAAGCGAAATATCCACTTCGCTACAAATATTTTTGAAGTGTCCTAAGTTGTGGCGCAAATGCAAATCGGTAATCATCTTAGGTATACCATTTCCCATATGAGCGACAAACATGCTGATAAAATTTCAGCCATCGCTTTCCGGCAAGTTTTCGAGTTAGCACAGTGCCAAATTGCAAACTTTGACGTGATCATACGCGCTGCACAAACGTGCGCGGCAGCTGAATTTGAAATCTTTTATCAAACATGCACAGAGAATATTCCTGCAAAGTTTCAGCTCTGTGCCTTGCCTGGTTCGCAAAATCGTTTCCCGCCAAAAAAAATTTGCATTTTTTTTCAGGGTCTAGGCGCGTGTGGAAAAAGATCTTAAAACGGGGGAGAGGGAGTGGCACACGGGTAGCAAAATATACCCAAAATTTCAGCCCCTCAGCTTTCCTGGTTGCTGGGATGAAAGTGGGTGACAAAATGCACTCACTTTCCGAACACACACACACAGACGACTCCTAGATAATATGCGTTTTTGCTGGCTGTAGCAGTGCTATGGCGCTGCTATAGCGCTGCACAACGAAAATGCATAAAAATTGTCTGTTGCAAGTCGTTAACTGGAAATACGAATTGGGTAATAAACAGGATTCAGATGGTAAAGGATTACAAAACTGCACAAAAGTTTCACCTTGCTATACGTGACAACCAAGCATGCTTAGGTACTGAATTTGCATGTGGGCAGGAAAAATCCCGTCAAAATTTCAGTCCTACAACTTTTCTGGTTGCTCAGGTAACAAAATTTTCATGGGGCCGTACGTGAGAACCAAACGTACGTGAATGCTGGTACCACGTTCCTCGAATTCGGATTTGGCCAGAAAGACCATTAATAAAATTTATACATCTCGGTTTACTTGGTTGCCGAGTACCTGGACAGGCGCAAAGACACATAGGCACGTACACGCCGTGAGTTATAACAACATGCTTTTTAGTCAACAGTTGCGGCGTTTTAGAGTGGCATCGTAAAAACTCACTATAAAAAAAAGTAACAGGTTCCCCAGTTTTCACCTGTCCCAGAATTTTAGGCTAACTTAGATAAATGTGGAAAGAAGTACAGCCAGAGATTTGATGAGAAAAACTTTTTAGAAAATTTTCATAAGATGAGTACTTTTTTTTTATTTTTCGAAGAAACTGAGAAATATTTTTGCTGTCTGATATCAAGTAATAAACTCTGTTGTCGATGTAGCGGCTAATTAGTAATATACATCAGGCTGAGTGGCACGGTGTAATGGCCAACGGCCCACTGCTGCTAGTTTTAATTCATGTGTGGGGAAATAAAACTCTCTATACGATTTACCGTGACAATAAATTGGCCATGTCTCTACTATTGCGTTAGAAACTAAATCATTTTCATCTTTTCATTCAAAGCAAAGCTTGGAACAGGATTACATTGACACACAAAGAGTGGCTGCTTTTGACAAAATTACTTTTCAGCTTCACTATTTTGCATGCAAGCTATTTTATATGAAATAGAAAGCAAAAATACAGTTAATAAAAGAATATAAAGATGTCATCTAGTTCCAGGACTATTTGTCATCATCCTTGGAGAGAAGGAATTTGTCCGTCGTGAATAAGTTTTTAGGAATGAGCCAAATACTTCTGACGAGATCTGTTAAAATAAGCCTCTGACAAATATTGTAGGGCGTTTGAACCGGATCCAATGGAAGAGACAGTATTGCAAGATGCAGTGCGGCATGCTATTTCCTATCACGACATTCAGGATGTTGTTGGTCTCTCAAAACATCCATCCACTGCAACTGTCCAACTGCCAGAAACAAAACGAGCCGAAATAATGTACTGTAGACCCGGCTTCGACAACGTTCCCGCATACTGATAGTCTGTCTATTGCTACAAATC